CGTTTTGGAAGATGTTTTAATGGTGGACGTGTTTTTTGGCTTTTTTTTTTTTTTTTTGCCTGGGGCGCCGTTCTGTGGGACGGGAAAAATTCCCTTTAGATTGGGGAAGAGGGCACCCCTATTTCTTCTTCGAGGGGGGGGGGGGGGGGGGGCTAGGGGCTGGCGCCCAAGCAAGTGAAGAGGCGCCTGATTTGTTGGTCGGTTGGTGATCGATCACATGCAAGAGCAGCAAGACGCAAGGATGATGAGGGAAAAAGAAAAGGAACATGACGTCCACCGGCGGAAATAAAAAAAATCAAACCATTCACGAATTTGACGACTACGAACGCACGCATGCGTTACAGCAGTCCGTGGTGCTTCTTGCAATACCAAGGTTTGAACACCCATCGCTTTTGGCGCCATCCGGAATAATATTAGTTCCGGGTGTCGAGTACACAACGCAGCCAGCCGTGGCGTGCATGTGCTGGGGCAACGACGTCTCGGACGCTCCCGCTTGCGGTCGACCTTACCAAGCTTCGGCAGAGTACGTTCACACTCATCGTACACGGCACAGACATGTGGTAGGGAAGGAGTTCATCACGAATATTTTTGGCAGATTACTCTCACACATACACTGACAGAGAATCCCGGCGAGGGTGGTGTTCATCGCGTATATTTTGGCAGTGTTCGTGTTACACTGCCTCGGAGATCTCTCTTTTTTTTTCGGTTTCCGCACGAAGGGCCTGCGTTTTTTGGGGACTTGAATTGAAGACCGTTCAAAAAGTAAGAGAAGCCAGGTTCAACATGGCGTCGTTCAAATACATTTTCAATCCACACAGCGCAGAGGGGGTTGATAACTTGATCGCATGAACTCAGAATCCGCAAGGGCATGGTCGGGCTCGCTGGACTTCGCCATCGAAACGTTCAACTTTTTTGTGCATAAACAAGGTGGGCAGCCAGTCGCGATTCACACATCGCGGGAGGGAGGCTCAAGTCCGAGTTATCCATCTTCTCGGTGCCCTCCGCCTAGTCGGCAATATTTTCCAGGCCGCACATGAAAAGACTGGGGACGATACGCATTCCCTCAAGTCTCCAGCAGTACCCCTTGGGACGCGTGGATTGACAAAGCCGTAGCGTTGCGTTTCACGGCGGTGTATCTCTCTCGCCCGATGGCGAACATCTTGAAAAAAAGAAGAAAAAAAATGATACCTCGAAGTGGCGCCACGAAAAAGAAACGTTGGTGCAATATTATAATTTGATTGTTGTAGGAAGGACTCGATTCTAGAAAACACCCAAAAAGGGGCGGTGCGTACACTACTACACCCGAGACGCTGCCCTCCCCAAACTGACGCAAACGCTAGCAACACACCTTCCTCTTTCGTGGCACAGCCAAGAAAAACACGACACCACCACGCCCGACGGCACAGCATCCAGCATGGTTAACGATTTCACCACCGCCGCCGAAAAACCGCACCAGTAATATCTTCGGCCTTTTGACACGAGAGACGCCCCGTTTCCACCATTTCGGTCTTCGGAGACGGTGCCCTTGCGCGCCGGATCACCCCAACCGGCCTGCCCTCCAGCTACAGACCCGCTCGCGAGAGCATGTTGAACTGTTAAACTCCTTCCCCCGCGCCCCTAGAATACCGAAACAAACACACACAACATCTCTACCCGGACCCGTGTTTCGTACAAGCCGGCGTGCTACAGTTTCAAGAAAAAGCTAGTAACCACCCCCTCCCCCGCATAACTGAACCCGGGTTTTGCATTCGGTTGACGCGGGTTTTTTCCTCCCGTTCCCCTCTGCGTGCGTTCATGGGTTCCACACACGACTTGGACGATGCAACGCCAGCAACAACGTCAACGACCCCAACCACAAGTTCTATCATAGCTCGCTCGTGCTCGTATAGCACCCTACAGAATCGGTCGCCCCGCTCGGTGTTCCTTTTTCACGGAGGAGTGCCATCACCAAGATGTAGAAGCACGGATGGAAAAAACAAAAAACAGACACACGCACACAAGCAGCTATTTTATCTCTCATGCTTCCATGTAGAGCTTAGTTCTCCCGGCTCTTGGCATTCGTGCCCCCGCCGCCTGCCTGAACTATCTTCTATTATCTGTTTCCTCGTCTTGCATGACTCCTTGTTTACTCCTTCGATTCAACTTAAGAAACAGAAAACAACGGGGAAAAATCAAGCGCGGTCGAGTCAAGAGTACTGTCGGCCCAAGAACTAGGTTCTCAACTCCTAGAACCGACTCTTCTATCTGCTGGCACCGGGCGAGCGTGTGACAACAACCAGCTCGAACTAAACCGTTTCCAAACTCTTCTGAACTGAGACAGAGACACTAGAAGAAGGAAAACGCCTCTCTGCAACGCACTTCTTTCTCTAGTCCCCCCCCCCGAAGAGGCGTTCTCCTTCCCAAAGAAGGGCGCCGACGATCTCGTCCAACACCCCAAGATTTCGGTTTCGTGGGTCTTCTTGATCCTCCTTTTCACGGGGGTGCTCGCAATGGCGGTGCGGCAATCATGCCCGGCTCTGTATACATGCTCCCGTGAAGCGATGCCCCATACACAAACACCACCGCACCGCCGCCACTCGCGCCCCCCGTCGGGCCAACCCCCCCCCCACCGTGCTGAAAAAGACTTTGGTGTTTTACATGGAGTCCGGAGACGGCAACAAGGCGATCGTTGCCGACATTGCCACCACCAGCGCCCCGACGATCCCCCCCACGACAAGCAGCGAGTTAGACTCGGGGGTTTCCACGTCAGTCCCCTGCAAAGAACGATCCAAGTGGAGGGGGGGGGACGATGGGGGAACGTTGGCAATGATAGCGACCTTGTTGTTGCGCGGTTCAGAGCAAGAGTGGGGGCGACTCGACCGGATTTCGGTGCGAGGTATAATCTGGATGCAGCACCGTGGATCGAGACAAGAAAGAACAATTTGAAATGTCTTGTGTTGTCAAGGGGCCAGGGACAAATATTTTTCGCGTCGAACGCCATGCATAGGAACAATCTGGGACAAGATGACGGTGTCATCCTGTTGTTCACACGCCCCCGATGTTTGATAGGTCTTGCTGTTCCAGCACACTCATTGGTTTTGTCTATCGCTTTCATCCTCATGCTCACCTCCACCCTCATCTTGGGCTCGACAGCCCACACGTTGGACTTTCCGTCCTGGTCGCGGCTGGATCCCAGCCGGACGTTCTCGTTGGGTGCGAAGAACGACTTTACACTCCTGAGAAAACAAGAATGAAAAAAAAGTAAAAGGGAAGAAAAAACAAAAGGGAGCAAGAGAAAAATAACGTATAAGCCACGGTCAGCGAATAACCGACACAAAGGTTTGACGCGAGGCGGGAGAGAGGGGGCGGGGGGGCGGAGCTAGCCATGAACCATCGTCAACAAAAGGGGGCATCCAAGTCCTGCTCTACTGTAACGAGGATAGACACGTTTCTCTTGCCAACGAACCATTTTCCGCGGAGAAAACATTTCACGTACAAAACACAAAAAAAGAAAGTCAACGCGGCATCACGAACGTCTAGTGTCATGGTACGATGATACTTGTAGCACGAAATGGTGCTCAATTTTGAACCCTACACTCAAGACCAAGTTGGAACACTCATGGTACAAGCCGTGTTCAACGCACGGAGGAAGTGATCCGTGGGGCTTCCATAAGTGTAAGCTCGCCACAAATACAAGCGGTCTGGAAATGGGTTTTTGTCCCTCTAGTTTGCCCGTCGATACGTCTGTGGTGCTGAGGCAACATCTACTCCGGTAGTGTTCAAGACTCAGTTGTCTCGCAGGCACTGTTGTTCTTCTCCGTGCCATCCTGTCCCTTTGCAATTTTCTTAGTCCCCCCCCCCACGGCGCTTCGCGCTTGGCGATGTGAGAGCCTGGTCCGGTGAGAACCCGGCGTGCTCCGTCCCGGCTTTGTAGGGATGCGAGGTCAATGGTCTAACGACTACGGCATGCACAACTTTGAGTACACCCCCCCCCCCGGTATTGTTTCTTCGCGCTCTGTTCGCAGCAAACGACGCGAAACGATTATTCGCCGGACGTCATTCTCATTCTCTCCGTGTTTTCATGTACAAAAAACACACCTTGCCTCTACATGTTAAATACCCATCTCCTCACTGCTGATTTTGAGGCTGGGGCGGGAAGGAGCTGTGGACATGTGCTCGAGAGTTGCTTTCTTGCGGCAAGCGGGCGGGGGGGTATGTAGGCGGTTCCTTACATATGATGGATACAAACAACAACAACAACCAGCGCGCTGTTGCGTCCTGGGCGGGGTTTTTCTCCGCCACGAGGGGCAACGAGGAGAGAGGAGGGGGGGGGGGGGGCCCGGGGTTCCCCCCCCCCAAACGTAACCAAAAACAACCAGCACTTACCCTGTTGTGCCCCAAGGGTGGAGGAGGGGGGGCGGGGGGGCGGGGGGCGCGCCCACACACACAAAACAACAGCTACAGCAATCATTGAACACTCACGTTGTTGCGTCCTGGGCGGGGTCTTGCTCTGCCACGGGCGCCGCCGGCGCGACCTCCTCCACCGCCTCCTCCGCTTCCTCCGACATGAACAGCGCCGACCGCCGGCTGTGCCTGCCGCAAAAAGGGTGGGAAGGATGCCGCGGAGAACCAAACCGAGAGGGCGCCGTTACCGTACTGAACTGCTGTACATGTACGCGAGCAGTCCGACCGGCTATTGTTGCGGCTGTCAAGATACCACCATGTAGGGATACCGTACACGAGCACAGCCTGTCCGGTTGGCTGTCGTTGCGGCCTTTAGTTACAATGCAAGAAGCCCGTCCCTCCAGCTAGACTTCCATGATTGACAGCGTTTTCTACAGTAGTAGATACCATGCAAGCAGCCCGTCCCTCCATCTAGACTTCGTCATAATTGGCTGCATTTTTGTCTGTAGCCCCGAAGCGTGTCCCCAGGTTCTCACTGAACCAACCGCCCCCGGAACAAACCGGATATGTATGTGAGCGGGATAGGTGTTGCACGGGAGCTCGACTTTAGCTCTAGACCCCCCGCGGCGCGCGAGTGGTTTGATCTGCTGTTGGGTGCAGCAGAGGTCAGCCGTAGGGTGCACTGCTGCTTCAACAAGTCTGCATTGCTGTAAGCGGGGCACAAACAGTCCTAGTGCTGTCACTGCTGTAGACTATCAGGTACGAAGTACATAGTTGTTTGACAATGCGACGGGATAACTCTTGTTGTGTGTACGTCGCTGTGACCACCCACCACTAACGCCCATCACACAGCAGGGCCCGGGATCACCGACCCCTGCGACAGCTAGAGCCCGTTGAACAAACATCGCGCGTGAGATCCCATCATCGTATGCATGCATGCATATCATATATCGTACGGCAAGACCTCGCGCGGCGAAGAGGGTCTCGTTTATTTTCTCCGCGCCTGGTACTGCTAGACTACTTCTACACACCATAACGTACCGTACATTTTGTAGATACAACAGCAGTAGCTGACGTAACAGACAGACCGTGTCACAAACGCAGAGTCAGTGTACACCTTACGCTGGAGTTGCGCTGCTCGGCCTGTTGCCAAAGATACCGGTCCGTCAAAACACCGGCTCGACACGATGCTGCTATCTAGACCTCGCTGCGGCTGCTGCTGCTGCTGCTGTGACTCCTCGAGATCGATCACCATCACCTACAAGCATGACGTGTACTGCGTCATCCAGTCAGAAAGTATGTCGCCGATTTTTTGGGGGCGCCCAATCCTCGTTTGATCCAACGTCAACGTCATCGGGAGCATGAAAAAACCGCATCATTTTGCCTTGCCGCCTCTCAAGAGCTGTGCTTGCCAAGGGGCTGCTAGGCTCAGAGGAGACCGACCTGCATGTGACTGCCACACCCCGCATAGGGAGGGGGCGGGATACGCAATGCCTAGTCAACCCTCAAGGGGTAAGTCACAATCGAGCCGAGGTGTGCGACGATGATGATGGTGACGAAAACACAAGAATCTCGCTAGCCGACAACGCGCAACAGGAACAAAGCTTTTGACATCGAAACCGGGTGCGACACACAAACACACACACACACCGAACCCTTCTCTCTCACCTTGCTGATGTTCGGAGGGCGGATGCCGAGGTGGCGGTGGTGGCGGCGGCGGCGCGGGGTGCGAGCGCGTGCACGCGCGCAGAGGGCACTACGAACGCGGACGTCGAGGCTGTCAGGAGACACACCGCCGATGCGAAGACGCTGGAAAAGCCTTGTACCATCATGATCGTGTTGTGAAGAAAGAGGTATCTAGGTTACCCTGTGATGCGGTATAGAGCACTTCGCTTGCCGAGTGTTGCCGAGAGTATCGTTGCGGATGAGAGCGTGGGTGGCTTCGGTCGAACGTTTGTGGGACGTTGGGGGTGTAGCAACAAACGGGAGACAAAGGGGGGGGTAGCTGTTCGTGGCCTGACCTGTTGTTTGAACAGCAAAGAAAATGTGAGGTGGCCTTGTTCTGAGTACCCACAACGCGGGGATGGTTAGAATCTAATACAAATTTCAAGTAAATGCATCCCCCCGCCTGCGCCCAGGACATGGTTGAAATTTGAATGATCATGCATGTTGCGAGTTTCAAGGACATCCATCGCCCAGCAGCAGGTGGTTGCGTGCCGTTGGGACCAAAAGCACCCCCCCCGCACACACACCCTTTGCCTATCTGACCATGGCGACTGCTGTGGCCTCGGCAGATCAGCAGGCGAAGGCGCTATCCCTGGCGAAGGTGGTTGCGGACGCCCAAGAAAAGACCAAGAAGTATCTGGGCAGGATCGAGGCCGCGGTTGATGACTCGGCTCGCCAGTGCATCGCGGAGTCTCGGCTGGACCAGCAGCTTGTCGGGCACAGCAAGAGGACCGTCGGAAAGGTACGTTTAATTCATGTGTGCGCGCATCGTTTTTTCGTGAACTTCCGTCTGACGAACATGCTGGTACAGACTATTTTTGCACCCGAGGCTGAGTACCGTATACTCGCGGTAGTATGCATTCCTGGCAGTTTGGCTCCCAATAAACCTGTCCGATGCCATGATGCACGAGCCCACAGACATTGCTGCACTGCACACACGAGGGATGCTGCACACAGATTGTAGCACGGACGGCGCTTTGCTGTTTTGACGGGAATCGATCCAAGACGTCGGTGGCCGCCACCGAGTTTCAACATCTCCACACCGCATGTTGCATAAGATACCACACCCCCTGAACAAGTTATCAAAGCCCTATAATTGCATAAATTGCCCTGTGCGTACGACGAAGCGAATCCCAAGAGCCCAAAGACAACTTCTCGGACAGCTCTCCACGAGCACGTTCTAGGTCCACCATCTTCGGTGCCGTCACCGATTTGTTTTTTTTTTTCTGAGGAACCAATCGAGCATTAGAAAAATCGGCCACAAAAACGGTGTGGTATCTTGCGCAATCTATGTCCAGTACTTTCCTCTCTCTATTTTAAAACATGACTCGTATTTATTGTATTGATACGTAGGTGAGGGACACCTACATCTGCGACGACGCGATCGTCCTCGTGACCACCGACCGACAGAGCGCGTTCGACAGGCAGCTGGCTAGGGTGCCCTTCAAGGGGGCGGTCCTCAACCAGGTGCGAACTGGCAGTACAGCAGTAGTGGTCCCTCGGGTAAGGACACCATTTCAGGACACTTACCCCCCCGTTAAGGACATATTTTTTTCACCGGGCATGGTGCCGCAAAATGTACAACTAGGCAGGGTATTAATCTTGTGGACACTTCCCCGGCTTAGGGACACCTGTCTCAACGAAACACCATGTGTGTCCTCAACCGAGAGACGACTGACTGTATTTTTTTTGTAGATTTGTGGGCCAGGGGGTTGGCCACCAACTATAATAGCCGGTGGCTGGCGCACTTCCTCCAACAGCATGTTACGGAAGCACTTCTTTGGCTAGCGTAGGTTTGCGCTGTTTCGTCAAGTCCCCGCTAAGTTATCTACACCAATCAGTCTCTATTTTTCTAAGGAAGGCAATTATAAAAACTACTTTTTGTGGAGGGATAGATGGCGAGTTGTCCAACCACCTTGCGTTGTGCTCAGCTGCCAGCTGTGTCATGTGGATAGCTCGTGGTAGATCGATATGCTCATGGGTGTACCACCTCCATGCCCAGCAGTCGCAGAGGAAGAAAAACATCGTTGACATGAAAAACAATTGCGGCAGCGAGCGGAATGACGAAAGTCATCATCCGTAAAAATTGGAACGATACAGAGAAGATTAGCATGGCCCCTGGAGCAAGGATGACACGCACGAATCGAGAGGTGTATCGAAACTTTTTTTCCTCTTTTTTTTTTTCATGGTGAGATAGATCATCACAAGTACATGAGTATGTACATATGTACATTTGCATGTAGTGCAATGCATGTTCGTGGGTTCAAGCTTTGTTGTTATCGGAAGGGTGTGTCTGGAGGTGGACGCCCTGCGGTGAAATTTATTTTTGCAACATTTTTTTTTCGTCCTGCGTTTCTTTGGCTTAGTTTTTAAATGCCACGGCCGTGGTACAGCAGTAACAAACCGCCAACATTTTGATGCCCCCCCCCCCGCCCCCCCGGTGTATGCCATCGGGGGTGTGGATTTTCGTCGCTTGGCAACGACGTTGTAAAACAAGCCGATCGCTTCGTGGAGCTCGACTGTTTTGGGATTTGAGTATATATAAGGATCTGAACGGTAGTTCTAGGCAAGATAGTTAGATATGGCGGGAACTCAAATGCCGTAACACTACGACCAGGTAATTTTTTTTTCTTTTCCTTTCGTTGCGGTAATTTATAGTGGTGCGGTGAGTACATTTTTTTTGCGGGGTCGGGAACGCTTTCTCCGCGCAAAGGGGATGATTGCACCGCGTTGTGTTAAAATGGCCAAGCACCCTCGAGTAATTGTCTCTGGAAGTGGAAGCGCTAGGAAATACATGAAGTCATTCGCAGCTGTCATCCGTTGCAAGGAAGTAAGCACAAGATGTCGAACACCCTTAGCGCGATGCACCGCACCCTCCATGCGGCTCACCGAATACCTCAAGGCGCTTCGCGCTTGGTGATGTGAGAGCCTGGTCCGGCGAGAACCCGGCGTGCTCCGTCCCGGCTTTGTAAGGATGCGAGGCCAATGGTCTAACGACTACGGCATGCACGACTATGAGTACCCCTACCCCCCGCCCCCCCCCTCTCGGCATAACGCATGCTATAGACGAGCGCATGGTGTTTCGAGAATACTCGACATATTGTTCCAAACCACCTTCTTCATCACCGTGTTATCATTTTTCCATGTAGATACCTTGTGGTCGATCGATATGCTCATGGGTGTACCACCTCCATGCCCAGCAGTCGCAGAGGAAGAAGAACATCGTTAAGATGAAAAACTAATTCCGTCTACAACGGAATGACGAAAGTCATCATCCGTAAAAATTGGAACGATACAGAGAAGATTAGCATGGCCCCTGGAGCAAGGATGACACGCACGAATCGAGAGGTGTATCGAAACTTTTTTTCCACTTTTTTTTTTCATGGTGAGATTCATCATCACAGCAGCAGAAATTCATTTGTATGAAGTGCAATACCGTATGAGTCGGAGAGATGGCACCCCCGTGTTAGCGCTTTTCTATTTCTCCACAGCTAGGAGGGTGCGAACACCAACCGATACCTCTCAGGAAAGCCCTCGATGAGATGTTTCCAAAACTACCCTTTTCG